TGTTCTCCCTGCTGCCCACTAGGAAGATGCTTCGAAGCATCAGATGCAGGTCCAGCAGATTCCAAAACAGCAACTCCACTGACGACAATAGACAAACTTTAGTAATCTATATTAGAGAAAATTTTTGAGATAAAAAAACAAAATCGGTAAAATTCAGATTGCTTAATTTTTTTATGAAAAAAATGCAAAAAAGACCAAAACAACATAAAAGTTCCTGGCAGAAAACTACCAGCACCTTTTCTGTTATTGATGGATTTTTTTATTTTCTTTTTGGTACAAGTTAGACTATCATGACTTTTCCTATCTCATAAAATCTCAAACATTCAAACATTTTTTCATCCCAAGCCTTAGAAGTTCACATCCAGTCTCCCCCCTATTCCAATCCCTTTTTATCCTCCACGTCCCTCTCTTGACCCCCTTGTCATAGAATCAAGCTTTCTGTACTCAAGGGAATTTCATTGATTTACTTCACTGATTATTAATTTACTCATAGAGAGCTAATTTGAATAATTAAAGTTTGTTAGAGGTGTTGCAGGGGGGTCACCATCAGCTATGCCCATTGTCCCAAAGCCACTGCACTAATCTAACCCTCTCATGTTGTGTGAACTTGATATTCGTTTCCCCTCATACATTCATAAACACTTTTTCAAAGTTAATGAGCCACTCATAACGATAAAGATTGAGTTGTTCTTAAATGGTTGCCAAAAATTGTTTATCTTACCTTACATTTATGCATATTTTGTATTAACAGATTACATTTTTCTGCTGCAGCTAATCAATATAGCTGTCTACCATCTGAAAATACCTGCAATAGAAGCAGTCATGCTGGTTTATAACTTTATATAAACCTTCAATATAGTGTCAGTCTATCATTGCATCTGTAGGAGTAGATTTTCCAACATGTCCCCAAGAAATGTTTTAATGCTCTTGGTCTCTTTGGCCAGCAGGGGGCCTTAGGCGCTGCAAATGTCGCTTATGACTATAGCCGAATTTGCGCAGATGACTGACAGACGTCATGAGGCTGGTTAATAAAGTGTTGTTGTGTGGATATTGGAGCAAATATGGCAGAAAAGTTATAGCCGATAAAAAAAAGAATAAAAACAAAACTTAAACGAGATAAACTCTGCAAGTCTTAGTGATTCTTTTAGTTTTTGCCTGGCAGACAATTCCATGGAGCTTAGATTTAACTGACCAAATGTTTTTTTTGTTTTTTGTGTAAAATGGTCCCAGGTTCAAAAATAGATCTTTATGTATTGCTATTATTTCATCCAGGGTTACATTTGTTTGGGAGCGCACGCAGAGCCTCTCTGGCTGGACTCATCTTGTGGCAGCCGGGCAGAGAAAGCGCTCACAGTTGCAAACAGAGCCAGTACCATAACGCACTCCCAGCCCGCTCACAAACCTCAGATTTGAGACACAGGAGCGGAAACGGGTCGAATCCTACTTCAAATTCTCTTTCCTCTTGGCTTGTCGACCGGGGAAAACAAACCGACCTGAGGCGCGGCGAATGGGGATTCACTAATTAACTACTTACACACACACACAGGAGAGAGAGGGATAGAGAGAGAGAGACAGACAGTGAGGGAGAGAGAGAGGGGGAGATGCACACCTCCTGTTCTCCCTCCTCACCCCCTCCTTCTCCTTGCCTCCCCGGGTTCAGGTTGGTAGTTGTGCTGCCTCTCCGGTCGCTGCCTCGGTGTGCCATCAGATTGGATGTGCTTGGATTGACTGTGCGCGCTTCAGCCAGAGAGAAGACCACTTTCTAAAAAAAATAAAACAAAACAAAAAAGACAAAGAAATCTGAAGGTATGTTTTGCCATTAATCCTAATATATACATGTTTTTCTTTGTTGTCATTTTTTTTTTCTATTTTTACTTAGAAGAACAAGTTTGGGTCGCGCATTGGGGAACCTGCAAGTCTTCTCTAATGATCCAAAAGCTCTTATTCTCGCTATAAAATAACTTTCCCTTGCTTTCCTGGTTACTGTTTCAAAGATGCAGTGTTTGATTGTGGGAACAAAAAAAAAGTTGCGCCTTGCATGACATGTTTTGTGTGTTTTGGTTTATTTTTTGTCTTTGTATTTTTTGGGAGAATTTGGAACCTTTCGCGCGCGCGCACACCACGGAGATGTTGATCTTTAAAGTCTGCGCGCAGGTGGGAATAGTCTCCGCTGTCCGCGTTGGCCCGGATTAGCCTTTAAATGTCTCTATTTGTTAAGACGTATTGCTCTCACCTCCACGCGGCCGTATCAATCAGTCAATTAAACAGGCATTCACGCGGCGAGCTGCACGAGACCCTTGTAGCCGGCGCACATCTCTCCCTCCCTCTCTCCCCCCTCTGCTTCACATTAATGAGCGCTGCCCATTTGGCTCACGAAGGGAGTTTGTGGGAGAGTTTGGATATTTATGAGGCATATGCTTTGCTTAGAATGTAATTAATTAAACTAATATATTTTTCATTTAATTTTTTTTAAATTTAATTTCAAGTTCAACTGCCATCCACGAATAAACATTATTTAATTGAATGTCTTCAGTATATTTTTTTGAAGTTTCTTCGCCCCGATTTCTTAACACTTAATACTGCAAGTAGAAAATAAATCGACTTGATGGGAGCGTTTTTCTTTCCGTGATCAGAGGTCACAGTGCGTCCTCTGCAAAGATAGAGGCTTAAGTTTGCTCCAGCACAAGTGAAGCCGGGGATTTTTGTTGTGCGTATCCTATGTGTTGGTGCTGGTATCCAGGCTCGCCTGGGAGTTTGTTACAGATGTGGGCACGTCGATAACACTTCGCAGTCAAGCTTTAAAAACATATTTGGAATAATCTTTATTTGATTTTGGCAGGGTTCATGTTTTTTATTTACTATTATTTATTTATTTCTATCTCTTTTTAAGGTGTCCCCCCCCTCCCGCTCTCCAACTTTTGATGCATATTTATGCGCGCCATGGGTGTACTCCCATCAATTATTTGTGCCGGTATATTTCCAGATAAACAGTGTTTGTAAATCGATACATGCATGTAACTATTGCAGATTAAGAGATCGATCAATGGATCTACTCGAAGTCCAGAAGACCAGCCAATCCTTGTTTGTGCGTGTGTGTGCTTTTATTATTCACTGCTGACTTCAAGAAACATCAGCCATGTAAAAATGAAAATCTAGCGCGTGCATAACTTAACTTAAGACAAGATGAAATGGAAAGGTAAATTAATTTAAGTAATTTGCACCTGATTCAAGCAAAATTATTTTTATTTTTTACATTTTTATTTACAACATTTATAATTAAAGCTGTCCAAAATAATAAAAAAAAAAACATTTAAAACTTCTTCTATTACATTATCTTTGTTTCTTCTGATTTAATTTTCATGATTTACATATTTGTGCCATTTTTTTAATTGCAGACACTTGTTTTTCAACCATCAAACTGGATTTCCTGCTCTTGTTACCGTGTCCAATTCAGGCCAACGTGTTGAGCCTCCTCTCGCCGGGGTTGTTCGCGAAGTTTTTTGCAGTTTCATTGGATCTTTTGCTTTTTTTTTTTTCTTTTTTTTTGTCTTTTTTTTCTGTTAATTGGATTTCGGGGATAAAAAAAAAAAAAAAAAAAAAAAGCAAAGCTGCACAAGACATTATTTACCTCAGCAGGGTCGGAGTTGGACTCATCCGACCCTACACAATAATTTGACATCCGACAATTTTTAACCAAAAGGTTTGCTTTAATAAATACATAAGAATATAATCTGAAAAGATGAAAATAAATGATAGACTTAATAATTATTATTTTTATTATTATTATTATTATTACTATGCTACAAATTTCGTTAGTAATTGTTATCAATTATAATTATTTTTATTTTGATAAACACATTTCGTTAAGACTAATTAAAGCTAATTTCGTTAACAGCTATATTGATATTAATAGTAAATAATAATAATTATTAGGATCTATTTAAATATAGCTGGTCGGATTAAGATTATTAACACGGCCTCTCTCTTCGTTTAAACGTTATTTTATTCACATATTTAACTCAGTGACATCTTTTTTTTTTATGCCCCCCAATAGTGATTTTTATTTTTCCACTTTATAGTTTTCTATAATTTTCTTCGTCGGTCTTAATCACTTTGGCAATGCACAAAATAAAAGCTCTCGTATTTTAGCTCTTCTTTTGGTGTTTGATAATTAAAGTTCATTGTTTTCCTTAAGATCGGCCTATAGGATGGGGATTCCAGGTCACATATATTACTTTACAAAAATATTTCTTATATTTTTGGTAAAGCTTTTAGAGTTTGAAAATTTTCCGTTTGGATGAGTGAGAAATCACTTCCATGGAGCGTTTCTTTCTTTCTTTCTTTCTTTCTTTCTTTCTTTCTTTCTTTCTTTCTTTCTTTCTTTCTTTCTTTCTTTCTTTCTTTAAAAAACGTTCTCTTTCTTAAAGTGCTGTCATCCTTAAAGCCATTTCATATGATCAAAGTGCGGTTAATATTCTTTGCAGCAACTTTTTTCATCTGCAGACTGCGGATCCTCCCGCCGCGCTGCAGCCAGGTCTCCGCTCTCTGCACATTATTCTGGTTACATTAACGCAAACAGATAACTTTATTTATTTCTTAATACAACCTTAATATCCGTCCTTCCGAACCAACGTTTTGATTTCTGTTTGCATTGGATAAGTAAACGTGTGATCAAAAATGCAGGGAGCAGTGATGATTATTCCAAGTTTTCTGGCATGTGTCCTTCCTCCATGGAACAGCCCTTTACTGTATGACAGTGAGGAGTCAATAAGGTGATTGATCTGTGGTCTGTGAGGCAGAAATGTTCCTGCGGGGAAACATCAGAACAAGTTTTTTAGGATTGCCTCCACCCAGCCTGACCAAAGCGACGCATCCCTTCTTTTATCATTTTTATCAAATGATCCAAACACGAATTTCTGATGATAATAATAATAAAACTTATTCATTTGTATTGATACTTAAGGAGCCATGAAGGTGATCATTATTTCGTCCATTTTTAGGTTTCGGTGAAGCATTCGTGCAGATTAACAGCGGCACTCCTCCAGCATCTGCCTCTTCTACCCGGATCAGAGCAGACCGGGAGACGGTGATCAGGCTTCGGCCTCAGGTGCATCTCTGAGGCGGGGCGACGCGAAGGTCCAGGTGGGTAAAACCTTCGGCATTCTAACAAAGTCTCAGTTTTATTGCACATTCTTCACATTTTTTGAAATATTGATATCAATTCTCTACATATAATCTCTCAGGTTAATTACATTAGTTTTGCAATTATGATTGTTAAATTAACATGTAGGCCTTATGTACAACTCACCAAAGAAAAACGTTTTTCCTTTAAGCATACCATGAGTAATAGAACTACCTATTGTTGGATAAAATACAAAATAAAGAACTATAAATGTTCTATCACTTTGTAAATCTGTATGATGATTCAATTTCTTCAATAGAAATGAACTGGGGAGGTTGTGCGCCTGTTTTTCTTTCTCCTTGTTGTCTTGTTGCTTTTTTTATTGTCAAGATCTGCAAAAATCGTTTCCAATGTTGACTACTGTGAATTTTTTTTATTCTTAACATTACAGAGACGTATAGATCTTTGTTATATCAGTCGGTTTAACATTGACTCATAACAATTATCTGACAAGCTTCTGTATTTTAGTTTTATAAGAAAAGTTATTACGCAAAAAGACAATCTATAGCCTACTGCAAAACTCTAATAAAAGTTGTTTTATTGTAAAATTGACCAAAGATATTGGTATAATGATATATAGTGAAAGCTGCTATAAATAATCTCTGCAATTTAGTTTAAATTTAACAGAACTATGTCAGAGATATTATTTGCTTCAGAAAATATGGTAAATCTGTTCATGTTCTAATTTATATTTATTAAAAAGTTATAAATAAAAACGTGTTATAATATGAATAAGACAAAATGTGTGAAAGTGATTCTTTGATATTTTAGTTTCTGGTTTCTAGTAAATCTTTTGTTGTTTGTTTAATGTAGAGATGTAGAGGTTTTCTGCTGCAACCATCAAATTATCCAAAGTCTTATCAATACAAAGGCTATACTATAAAAATTGTTTTCAAATTTTACTATAGCTTTTCTTTAAAAACATTCAAAAAAAAGTCAACTGTCAGCACATAATGAAAGATATCCCAAGCAACATGTTCAGACGAAATTCCAGATTTTCCTCAAGCCAACCAACGCTCGGACATCTCCCAACGCTCCTCTTTGCCTCCCCCATCCCTTCCTGTCTGATATTAGCCCCCAAGCGCGCCTTAAAATGTTTCATTATTGAAGATTCTGTTCTGTTTGCCAATGTATACACGTGTGTACCTGTTACATCCAAAGCCTATAGGGCAACTGAAGGACTCCTCTGTATCTTTTCTACCATCTTCTCACCTCCTCCCCTCTTCTGTCATCCCTCACTATACCACACCTGGTAACTACAAACTTGTACACAATAATAACAGCCACATGTACCTATCTATCTCTGTATCTAGCCTGTCGGCAGTTAGTGGAGTGGCTGAGAGACTTGCAGGCGTGAAAGGTCAGTTAATCAATGGCTCACAATTTGACAAATCCCAGCGACTCTTATCATCCTCACGGGCGTTTAGGGGCCGAAAGGAGGACCACCGAGATAAATGCTTAATCCTTGTAGCTCAGAGAGAAGGAGCGAAAGAGGACAAGCTGGTAAGCAGATGGGCATGCAGAGAGGTTTGGAGCACTGGGGAGGGAAGGAGGAGGATGTTTGGAGGAGTAGCTGAGCAAAGACAAGAAAAAGAAGTGAAGGACGAGATGTAAAAGTGACTCTATTGCACAACTGGAAGGTGAACAAATGCGGCTGCATTTTGAAGATGTCAGCTTACTGCTTTTGTCTGTCACGTTCAAAAGAAGCACACGACTTTACGGCTCTCAGATCACTCGGTTTGCCTGGGGCTGGACAGGCCATGCACATGCCTTCTAGGCTGACGTACAAATCCTGCTTCAGTCTTAGTTATGGCTTTGACACCATGTGTAAAGTTGAGAAAAACCTCAGGAAAACAAAGGTGTATGAGTGCCTGAATTCTCTCGTGGCATGTTAGCCCGCCTGCAGCAGTGTGCAACCAAGAGGAAAATGAGCTTTTGTCCACAAGGCTGGCCCTTTTCTTCCCTCGATTTTTCAAGCTGCAGGGGTTTGGAAGGTGGCAAACTCTCTGTGCCCCATACCCTTAACAAAGATCACCTCAGTGTGACATCGGATCAGTTGGTTTTTTTTGCCACTAAATTGTTTGTGCTTTTTTAACCTCTTCTTGCAGTTTCTTCAGTTCTAATCTGAACATAGATAAATGCTTATGTCTTAGACACAAAGTAGAGCCTACATGAGCCAACTTTTAAATTTGCCTAGAAATAATAGGGAAAAAAAAACATTTATCAATAAATTCCAACCTTGTGATTTTAAGGAAACTTGCACACGTGATTGTTGCTTTACAATTATGCCAAAGAAACTATCCATAGTTTATTGTTAAAATAGGTTAGCTTATTCATTTACATCCGCTGCTTTTTCCTATGTTTGAATCTCATTTTGTGTATCGTCTTAATGCAAAGCAATCAAAAAACACACGAAAACTGTATTCAGTTCTATGCACAATTCACATTTAAATATTATAAGTACTTTATTACCTATAATCCAATTTAATGAGTCAGAAAAATAACATTTTCTCCAGAATGTATATATTGCTATTTATTTGATAAAAATCTAGCCTTGAATCAGGGCTCCAAAATCTAATTTGGTTTGGGGCCCCTATACCAGCTTGATCCAGCTTTCCTCAAACAAAAGGCTTGTCATCTTGTTGTCTTTTCAACACAATTTATCCAGGAGACTTGATTTTGCATTACTGCATTGAGATTTTGTCTGAGCTCTTTTTCTAGAAGAGAATCTGGCACACCTTGAGTGTCCTTTATCACCATCTCAATACAAATCCAATCTAGTTCAACTGAGATTATTTGAATTGGCATGACAGCAGATCTCTAGTATTGCCAAAGCACTTAGGAGGCAATGACAGGACCGCATCGATGCATACTAACACATACACAACACCCAACCTCGTAGTGAATCTAAGACACGGTCACAGATGAAGCAGCGGCTGGGTAACAAGACCAGGCAAAGAATTTCGGAGGAAAAATTCACCGGAACAGTGGAATAAAAAGATGATGGAGGAATATTGAATGGATCTGAAGAAAAGAGAAGAGAAATGATGAAGGGAAGCAGATGGTTAGCCATGTCAAAGAATGAGAAAGACTGGAGAAAGTAGGTGAAAAAATGGAATGAGGCAGCGGTGCCTTTCAAAAAGGTTTTTTTTTTAAGGGATGGCAAGTGGTCCACTCAGAACTTTGTAGTGCCATGACAAAAACAAAAACATGCATGGATTTTATCACCTTATTCTGGTATAGAGTTACACACATAACAAAATACATGTTACATGTTGAAACATGTACTTTCATAACTTAAAATAATTAAATTAAACTTGTAGATATGTCAGTCTGGCGGGGAAAGGAATTTAGGGTGGCAGTTAGGTAGCAGACATTTTTGGTGGCACTACTAGAAACAGGTAAAAAAAACCCAGAGACACTAAAGACAGAAACCGAAGAGCAGAAAAGATAAAGCGGGGCAGGTTCTAGTGGAGGATAAAATGTATAATAGTGATGAACGAGAAAAGAGAAAAGGAAGAGATTTACTAGAAGAGAGATTAAGTCAAGTTGTCCCCGGTCAGTCATTAATCCGATTTAAGTGCAATTAAGGTGAGACTGATTCCTTCCTAGGGAGAAAGAAATAGATGGAGAGGCTGTAAAGAGGGATACGAGAGTGGGGAGGGGCGGTGGGCTGGTAGACGGGAAACGTAGACGAGGATGGAGTGATTGAAAGAGAAAAGTGGGAAAATGAAAACAGGTGCCTGAACTCAGAGAGGCTTTAATGTTGGCAAATTAGAGGCTGCGTGATGTACAACAGACTCCTGCAGGGAAAAAAAGTATCTATGCATTCAATTAGAGGTGCCATATTTGGAAAATGTATATATTTAATGATTTCTCGCTCAGGTCATTGATTATAGGGCAAGTGATACTGTTACTGTAGTTATCATAGGTTAACCAAAGGTTTGAGCTTATCCTAAGCAGTTGAATGACCATACTTTATCATACTGCTACAAAACACACTCTTCTGTGTTGAAGTTTTTATAGAAAGATGTAGACTAGTTTGCTCTCTTGGGAACAACTGAGATCCTAGAAGTGGAAGCCTTATTTTCTATGGTTGTATGTTAGAAATATATCCAGGTTGGTCTTTTTTAACATCGAGTGTGACTTCAGCAGATAACAGAAAGGATGAACATGTAACAAAGTTACTGTAATTTGAGACTCAAGGTAAAGATTGTCTGTATATCAGGATCTCAAGCTTAATATTTTATTATATAATTATATTGGGGAGTAATGACGTAAAACTGAGGTATTTTTAGCAATTTTATTCAAGAACGGTGAATCAGGAAATCATTTGTTATGACCAGTCTAGGGGTTTCCAGATCACTGGATGATCCTCTTCAGACTCCAAGCAGCCAACACACACCAAGTAGAACATTTAATAATGTTATATAATTAAAAAGAATTTTGATTAAGATGTTACAAATTGAGCATATTGCTTCAGAGCGAGCTATAATGCCGAAAACAACAAAAAAGTAATCTATATGAATATTAATCGAAACTAATTAAAAGTGAATAAACCAAATGACAAAAACTTATTTCCCTAATTAAGAAAAAACATGTGAAACTAAGCAAACCTAAATGGCAGCTCACTCCAACAAACTCCAAAATCTTAAATGGTGTTACCAAACAAACAGTGTGGCCGGTTGAAATGAGCTGAGGATGGACGGCAGGAAGTCCGGTCAGTAGGTTTTATATCCGTCCCCTCTGCGAGGCCACCAATTGGACATCTCTGTAGTCTACTAGGAACCACTCAGAGGCAGGCACCTGCACACTCATATTTGCATAATTAAGTTGACGGCCCCAGCCGTAACACATTTAAAAGTTGATATTGGACTCCTGATTACTGGGTTCCAGACCCAGGTCAATAGCCTGTAGGGAATACACATAGAGACTGCTGTTTAATTTTTCTATTGTCGAC